ATTACTTGACCTACAGCACTAAAGCTACAATTTAAATAAACTTTCTAAATTTTATTTTTAGCACAATATTCTTATATCCATATATCCAGTTCCTCTTTAACTAAGTGGGGTCAAATGAACAGTCATTTAATGTCATGGTGTGTTTACTGCAACATGCCTGCTACTTGCTTCAATGCAAACCCAAACATTTCCCTGTGTGAACGTCACATCTTTGCTTCCTGAGCTGAATCATATGTGCACATGCGTTCAGGCCGAGTGTGCAGCCTTGATTATTTGATTAAGAAGTCACAGTGCTGGGTGGAGTCCGTTAATTGTATCACAGGGGCTGTTGTTTTTTAGCAGAGTAGACTGTGGGGATGTGGACCTGAACAGTGTGTCTGCAGTGAGACTCCAGTCAAAAGCAACTTATTTCATTTGAACCGTGGCAGCAGGTTGCTGCTTGTTTTGGCGCCATAACCAGTCAGATGTCACAGGCCTGTATTAGACTTTACACAAAGACCTGCCTGCATCTAATGAGGCCAGAACGTCCAAACCTGTTCATGTCAACTGAGCTGAGACTCAGACGACTTTACTCCGTCTACAATTATCTGCTGGTTTTTTAAATTTATTTTATTATTTCTTATTTATCTTTGATTATTTCAACCATTTTGCTCTACAACACACCTATTTTTAGATTTTTTAAATCATGATATATACAACAAATGTTTAGGCTAACGCTTACATGTGCATTTCTGTTGTTAGAGCTGGGCAGTAAAACAACATCAGTAATTATAGCAATATAATTTCATCAAATATCAATACAATTAAAGTGCAGTATATATGGAGATATTGCTGATTGTGCAGAGTGAGGAGGTGCAACACAAAATTTTTCTGCCTCAGATTTGTGTTTGTCTTTTTCTGACGAGGACGTTCAAACCACAACCTTCACTCAGGAGCAAAAATCTGTCTTTAAACTTTAAAGAAATAACAATGAGACATTGATCCTGATAATTCTCGATATTGACTGAATTGAAAATTCTTATTGGGATAAAAAAATGTTGTCTGCTTTAGAGTTATATTTCCCATTTAAGAAAACCATGAGCTCACACTTGTAAGTAATAAGTAGAATACTGAGTAATAATCATGTCACGACACGCAGCATTGTAACGCCTTTGTATTGTACGGTGGAGAAAAAGGTCTCGTTCAATGCATAAATATTATATAATATTTCTTTAAATCTCATGCTATGTACACACTAGCAGTACTCTGTAGTATTTTGTGGTATTGAAAAGTTGTACGTCTCATGTTTAATGCTGGTAATACACCTGGTTGGGGACAGAGCAACATATTGCTGTCCTTCTGAGTGTCCTTATTGTTGACACGATTTATTCCCACTGTTTCATGTTTCATGTATTACATATTACAGAGAGGCAGATAACACTGTATGAGAATCTAATGAAAAATGCATTTGTATCAGGACAGTGTGGTGACCTACATTTGATCATATTGATATAATCAGCTGCTATCATCACTCATCAGAGGTTATAAGCAGGAGCTTGGGTGGTGAATTTCTAAAATATCAAATGTAGCATTATGTTCTTGATCAAGCAGTAGAATAAATATTTTATTTCCATTGTTGTTTCCACACCAGGCCCAAGGACACGGAAACTGAAAAAGAAGAAGAGCAGCAAGGAGGACAAGCGGCCCAGGACAGCGTTCACGGCCGAGCAGCTGCAGAGACTGAAAACCGAGTTCCAGGCCAACCGCTACATAACGGAGCAGCGGAGACAGTCTCTGGCCCAGGAACTCAACCTGAACGAGTCTCAAATTAAAATCTGGTTCCAGAATAAGAGGGCCAAGATTAAAAAGGCCACCGGCTACAAGAACGGCCTGGCCATGCAGCTCATGGCCCAAGGACTTTACAACCATTCGACGACCACCGTGCAGGAGGAGAAGGAGGAGAGTGAATGAGAGAGCCCGGACATTTCCCCCCCACGCTCAGGGCCGCAGCCTGACTCTTTGGACTCTTTTGGAGCTAATGAAAAAAAAATGAACTGGAAGTGGGGGAGACGCTATTTAAAAACACAGATTTCTGTTTATGGTAACAGTATATGGACATAATTATATAAATGAGCGATCGTTATTAAAGTTTATATAGCCACACAGTTATCATGTTGTATACAGTATATTTAATTTCCGCCTCACCTCGCATCTCATCCCTTCTGTCTGTTCTCGTTGTTTTTAGACTGTCAGATTGGCTCTATAGGTTCTTGTGGTCTCCTGTCGCCCATTTCTTCATCCAACACATCAGTCCGCAGACTCAGACAAGCCAAAGATTTTAATATGTCCACATGTAGTCTGAAATAAAAAAAAAAGAAGAATGGTAGATTGATGGACTAAATTATTCTTTCTTTCATTCCCTTCTATGGGTAATTTAACTTTATAGTGGTGAAAGGAGTTAAGAGGAATTATTTGGA